ACTACCAGCAGAAAGTAGCGCTCCCCGCCCTGTCCACGGACGCGGGCGGGGCCCCACACGTCCAGGTGGAGTGTCTGCAGAGGAGCCTCCGTCGGGGGAAACGCAGAAGAGTGAGGAGCGGCGCGCTGCCGCCCCTCGACACAGGGAATACAGGGAGGAGCCGGCGAGGGTGGGAGGGGAGGGAGAACCCTGGGAAGACCAGAGACAAGGTACCGCTGGTGCATGGTCCGAAGGCGCTGCACGGACGGGTGGCCAAGTCGGTGGTGCCAGAGGACGGTGTCGTGCGCGAGAGACCGACACGAGCAGGGGGCGGACAGCTGACAGGACGCAGACGCAGACGCAGCCACCTGTGGGGACCCAGTGGTCAGTGTGTACAGGTCCGACCCTGGCTCCCGAGTGAAGGTAGCCAGGTGACGACCCGTCCGAGCACACGTGCAGTGTGTCACACGCTCGTAGGCAGGGGTGAACTGGTGAACACCCCCGTCCTGGAGCGCGCTACCTGCCACCAAGTTCGTAGAGAACGAGGGGAGGTAGAGCCCTGACAGTGTGCCGGACGGGACCGCTGGACAGGGAAGGACAGTGGAGGAGGTCGCAATGACCGGACCCCCAGAGGGGTCAGCGAGGGAGACAGCAACTGGCCGAGCAAGTGGCTCAAGGACAGTGCGGTCACGAAAGAAACAGCGTGAAGCACCTGAGTCCAGGGTGAAGGTGTGCAGTGCCTCAGTCGACTCAGTACCAGGGGGGACAGACGCACGAGCACCTAGAGCGACAGCCTCACCATCACCTGAGGGAGCAGACACGCAAGTACCTGCAGCGGCAGTCTCACTAGCACCTGGAGCGGCAGTCTCACTGGTCAGAATGCCCGGGTCGGGCGGAACACACAAGTACTGAGCACCCTCTCCACTAGTAAACATGGCATACATGGCAGTGAGAATAGTATCAAAGTCTAGAGCCCAGATATCAACCCCCTTCCTCTCCAGATCAGCCCAGCGGGGCAGCTCAGCGCCATCAGGGAACTGGGTGCGCCAAGCGTCGGTAAGGCGCGCGAAACAGCGCTGTGTGGGGTGCGGCCTCCCACACTGCTGACCAGTGCGGTCACCAGTGCGGATGACATACGTGCAGCTAAGACGCTGGGCATACCACTCACGGGCCTCCTGGAGCGACGGAGTGTGCTGCTGGCTCAGACCACCGCCAGCGCCTCCACGGCCACCACCACTGCCGCCACCTCCGCGACCACCGCCTCCCCTGCCGCTGCCACGACCACCTCCGCCCCCACCGCCGCCCCCGCCCCTGCCACCGCCCCCGCCGCTGCCGTCACCACCCCCACTGCCGCCACTAGCCTCTCCAGCCCCTCCTCCACCCCCACCGCCTCCACCCCCACCGCCCCCGCCGCCACCTCCACCCTTGCCCCCCTTCGTCCTGCGGCGCCCGCTCGAAGCAGACGCGGTCCCGACCTTCTCAGCACCAAGAAGGTCGACAGCAGAAGCAGAGGCGACAGAGGGAAGGAGGGGGGAAGGGGAACACCCCTCAAAGAAAGGAGTGCGGGGGTCACCACGAGAGGCACCTACAGCGACGACACTCGCCTCGGCTGCAAGTAGCTCCTTCTCGAGGAGGGCAATGGTGAGCTCAGTGGGGCAGCGAGCTAGAAACTGGTCCCTGACTGCGCGGAGAGAGTCAGGGAGGCGGGTGACTAGGTGGTAGAGAACGAGCCAGAGCGGGGGGGGGTTGTTAGCTAGGAACTCGGCAGGCATAGCAGCGCGGAAGCGGGCCTCACTAGTCTTGAGGTGGGTGATGAGGTCAGCAACGGTGTGGAAGGAGGCCAGGTCGGGGAACAGGTAGGGGAGGGAGAGGCGGCCTAGTGCGGCAGAAGCAGGCGAGGAGTAACGAGCAACTACAGCAGTGTACAGGTCCTTAGCAGTCTTGTGCTGGCCAAAGTGCTCGCGCTCATCTAGCGGCAGGGAGTTGCGAATGGCAAAGCGAGCGTGAGCGTCACGAGTCTGCCACTGTGAGCGCTGAGTGCTGTCAGCAGTAGTAGGAGGTGCAGTAGCGTGGCCTAGGGCGTGATCGTACAGTGAAATATCTTCCTTGGCAGTGAGCTGTAGGTAGAGGTGCAGGTCATCGAGCCAGGTGTCAAACTTCACTGGGCGGCCCTCAGCATCAAAAGCGAGTACAGGAGGAGTAGCCATAGCAGCAGTAGGAGTAGCAGTAGCAGTAGTGTAGTGCAGGTAGGACAGCGCGGCTCGGCTAGGGCTGTGCGGCTCGGCTAGGGCGGCGCGGCTCGGTTCGGGGCGCGCGGCTCGGCTCGGTCTGGGCGGCTCGGTTCGGGTCGCGCGGCTCGGCTTGGATCGGGCGGCTGTAGCGGTCGCGGGCCGTTGGGGCCTTTAGGGGCGAGCGCGGGGCCGTACGGGGCCTCTAGGGGCTAGCGCGGGGCCGTGCGGGGCGGTAAGGGGCGGTAAGGGGCGAGCACGGGGCCGATCGGGGCCGCTAGGGGCTAGCGTGGGGCCGTTCGGGGCCTCTAGGGGCGAGCGCGGGGCCGTACGGGGCCGTAAGGGGCGGGCGCGGGGCCGTTCGGGGCCGTAAGGGGCGGGCGCGGGGCCGTTCGGGGCCGTAAGGGGCTAGCGCGGGGCCGTTCGGGGCCTCTAGGGGCGAGCGCGGGGCCGTACGGGGCCGTAAGGGGCGGGCGCGGGGCCGTTCGGGGCCGTAAGGGGCGGGCGCGGGGCCGTTCGGGGCCGTAAGTGGCGGCGCGCGGGTCACTAGGGGGCGGATCGCGGGGCCTTAGGGGGCCGTGAAAAACGAGGCGCCCTAGGGCGCAGGTAGGTAGGTAGGTAGGTAGGTAGGTAGGTGGGCCCTAAAAAAAACGGTCCTAGCGAAGGACCTGCTCTGAAACCATGTCGGAAAGAACGAACAGGAATGATGAACTAACAGTGCAAAACAGTACAAGTACCTAACCCTAGAATTGTGTACCCCGTATAGGCTAACCCACTGTAGCCTACACAAGCATAACATATATAATGTTTGACACATACCATTGCATAGGGTTACCAGACTATTTTGCGTGTTTATGATGTTGGCCCCTCGGAAAATCTCAGCCGAAAGGGGTCGTCAAGCCTGACGACCCTCTGACGACTTGACGACATGCTGCCCCGGGCAGAAAAAAACTAAACCCCCATCGGATGGCATGCCATCCGAGGGAGCCTCAACCCTAAAATCCATGCCTCCCCGTGTTTAGGGTTGAGGCTCCCTGACCGGATGCATGCCCGAATGGGGTTTATTTTTTTTGCCCGCGGGCAGCGAGCTCCCCCGGGCGGACTCGCTTGTCCGCTGAGATATATCATTCGAAACAACCTTGACATGCCTGTCAAGGCCCAGAGACTCCAAACAGCAGTACAACTTTCTTGCTATGTTCAAGGACTTGACCGAGGTGAGTTTGGACCATTTTCAAGGGATTGAAATCGCAGCTGGGAATGTTCATCGCATCTGGTTATGCGAAAGGTCCATCATACGACTACTTGAGCTGTCATCGTCAATCGGACTTAGCCAACCGGCTTGACGACAACGGCCAGCTGGGTGTCACATTTCGCACGACGGAGGGGAAGGTGAAAGGAAACGCTAAGGGCGCGTAACCATTTCACAATTTACGATTTTGGCGGACGGTCAACTTATCGAGAACGGAACCGTCCGACTGATTTTTTTGCAACTTCGGACTGTCCGAAGACAATTGTGACACTTTTTTCCTATTGTACAGTTTCGCGATCTCTGTACAGGCGTTACGCGATTCGCTCATGCTCGCAGATGTCGTTATTGAATCATTTTTGTTTATGGGTTGTCTCTGGTTGGTCGATGTCATCTCGTGAAATAGCATCGCATGTTTTTGTTGGTGGACGAGGGGACGCGACAATTTTTACATCGCGCGCCAGTCGTGTGCAAGGACTGCCGGACAGTCCGTTTGGGATTCGGACTGTCCACGGATCAGATTTCGGACCGTTGAAAATGTGAAAAGTGTCACGACAGTCCGTTTTGTTGGCGATGTCGCCAACACCTCGGCGAACACACTTACGACATTGCTCGAATTCAGTTACCAATTCGCCACCCGGACGGTCCACGGTTCGAACCGTCGAGTCAAAATGGTTACGCGCCCTAAGAGGGTGTCCGAAGTGAACGTCGACGAAGCTCGACGATACTGTAAGGAATGTCGATGAATCTTGACGGTCGGAACGCTCGATCCGAGGGTGGAAATTTGTCGACATCCCCCGACGAACTGTAGCATCCGTCGACGTTTTCTTCGGACATCCTCTAAACGCACGGGTTCGCGAAAGCGACTTGGATTCCCCTGAAGCGCTAAACGCCAAATTGGTAGCCCGTTCTCAGGGTAGAGATGAGTTCGACTGCCGCAGATGAGTACGACCTAATTCTCAGGAGATTAGTCGGGCCGTCGAAACAGCCCGACGGTCCGTCAAATGCGCAGGGGAATACAGAGTACTGTGGTCTTTTCTGCCCGCGATCAGGCTGGATGTCTTTCATCGCTAATCCGTCTGTTCCAAACGTCTAGTATCGAACTAGTTAGATGTTGAATTGGGTTAGAAGCGACAAATAGCAACCTACTAATACTGCAAGGCCCAGAACTCCTGAACTGCCAAGGGTGATCTCACACGGCTTAGTAAGACGGAAACATGCTACGTGTTAGAACCCTATAACCCTTCACGTGTTAGACATTTGTTCCAGCATGTGACTGGTTCTTTGCTAAGGACGCACAGAAGAAACAACAAACGAATGGAAACTAAGCACCTGTAAGACATTATTGTAACCAGCATCTCTTAGACACTGTAATACATCTGGGTGACAGGGGGATGAGGGCTTTAAAGTACAAAATAGCAGAACAAATTTCAAATAGGGCGTGTGGGATACTACGAGCCTTTGGTTCTGAGGCAGGCCCATTGCCGCAAACAACCAAATCAAATCCGTTGGTAACGTGATTGCGGTAGTTACAAATGGTAACCTGGTTACTTCTTCAACGGCGTGCCGGCAGCACCGTAGTCGCACACACCAGCGATGCAGGTCCCGCGGCAGAACCTCCCGCATTTGCCGCAGTTCTTCTTGTCGGTGAGAAGCGAGGTGCAGGTGGCGGAGCAGCACATGAAATCGGTGGCGCAGTATCGGTTGCAGCTGCCGCAATGGTTTGGATCCGACTTTAAGAAGGTGCAGAGACTGCAAAGCACAGCATTATAAAAAGGAAATCAGTTAACCATAAGATCCGAAGATGGATCAAAGGGCAAAAATAGGGAACGGTTTAGTAGGACATGGCCGACTGATGTTGGGACTTACGAGCCACAGAGGGTTTGGTTCTGCAGGCAGCCGTTGGGCTGCAGCACCACGTCCCCAGTTGTGCCAGTGCTTCCAGTGTTGCCGCCAGCGTTGGAGCTGCCGCCGCTGTTAGTGTTGCCGCCAGCGTTGGAGCTGCCGCCGCTGTTGGTATTACCGCCAGCGTTGGAGCTGCCGCCGCTGTTGGTATTACCGCCAGAGTTGGTGCTGCCGCCGCTGTTGGTATTACCGCCAGAGTTGGTGCTGCCGCCGCTGTTGGTATTACCGCCGGAGTTAGAGCTGCCGCCGCTGTTGGTGTTGCCGACAGAGTTGGAGCTGCCGCCGCTGTTCGTGTTGCCGCCAGAGTTGGAGCTGCCGCCGCTGTTCGTGTTGCCGCCGGAGTTAGAGCTACCGGCGCTGTTCGTGTTGCCGCCGGAGTTAGAGCTACCGGCGCTGTTCGTGTTGCCGACAGAAGTGGAGCTGCCGGCGCTGTTCGTGTTGCCGACAGAGGTGGAGCTGCCGGCGCTGTTCGTGTTGCCGCCCGAGTTGGAGCTGCCGGCGCTGTTCGTGTTGCCGCCCGAGTTGGAGCTGCCGGCGCTGTTTGTGTTACCGCCAGAGGTGGAGCTGCCGCCGCCGCTGTTCGTGTTGCCGCCAGAGGTGGAGCTGCCGCCGCCGCTGTTCGTGTTGCCGCCAGAGGTGGAGCTGCCGCCGCCGCTGTTCGTGTTGCCGCCAGAGGTGGAGCTGCCGCCGCCGCTGTTCGTGTTGCCGCCAGAGGTGGAGCTGCCGCCGCCGCTTTTCGTGTTACCGCCAGAGGAGGAGCTGCCGCCGCCGCTGTTCGTGTTACCGGCAGAAGTGGAGCTGCCGCCGCCACTGGCCGTACTGCCACCGGCAAGAATCCTCATCCGCCGTAGGCGTGCATTACCACGCGAGGATCGGACAGCGAATCGCTGCACAATGACAGGAGGGGACAGGCAGAAAGACGGAAGGCCGAGACATTTAGGACAGAGATAAAAAACAGTGAGAAGAGGCGAAAGAAACTCAGAATCGAAAGTGGTTCGGGATCTGGAGAGTAAACTAGTGGCCCAGAATTATCAGACCGGAACAGGCACCTTGCGCGTGCAACACTGACTACAAACTACTGTCAACGCTACGATCTTGACGAAGGTGAGCAGCTGACTGACCTCGAAATCGGCGTTGAGGCCAATATCATCGACTGATGCGGCACCATACTCGGGCAAAAGCGCAATAACCAGCAGCGCTACGATAATGACTTGGAGAAGCTGAGAGATCTTCATCGTCTCTCTCCCTGCCCTAATCTGCTCGAGCTGTTTAACCTGTCAGTAGCTTTCACCCTAATTCTCGGGGAGGTAATGTGCTTGTGCGATACAGGAAACCTCCCTCTAGACTACTGGAGAAGATCTAAGATAAGTTGGTGATAGATGGGGAAGGAGTGGGGTGATGCAATTGCAAAACTTGCAAGCTCAAAGTCATCTAGAGGTGACTTCTCGTACGCCTGTCCGACTGATGGGGCTAGGCTGGTTAGGGCTGTTGCTGTCGTATCCGCAACGTAGATTTTGACTACGTGCCTGGCAAGGGCAGCCTCGCTCGTTCAGTTCTTCAGGTTCTGATGAAACCACCTGCGCGAGTCAGGCACAGCCCAACGACAGGACTCGAGCAATCCCAATTCTAATTTCCCAGGTGTGAGCTTCGGGGATGTGGCGAGTCGCAGGGTTGACTTATTCGTTACGAGCGAAAGCTCGATCTTTACATCCTGGTTACAACACCAGAACAAAATCGCTACTTGATTTCAATGCGGAGAAGCTGAGTACCTTCTCCGGCGAGAAGTTGTCGCCAGCCTTCGTTTTTTTTTAGCAACCCTTCGTGACAGATGTTCCGGACGTCTGATACATCAGAAAATGACAAAAGTCCTCCAAAACCAGCAGCGCTGATTTATGCGGAAGAGTTTCTTCAGGTGGGTAAGCAGCGATATGGTACAGTATTCACACAGAATTGAGAAGCGACAATATTTCTGGACAGTGGACTCCACCAACCTCGGGCAACCCGCTCTGCTTGACGAATGAAACGGGATGGTAGGAAAAACGGGAGACCAGCTCTTCAAGAACTTCCCGTATATAGAACAGCAACGCACCTGCGCATAGAACAAGGAACCTCTTCAATATAAACTATACAATCAATTGATATAACCTGCTAGATCACATGTCACACGTACATGTCATCAAGAATATCTATGCATAAAAAAATCATTATGTGCAAATCTTTGGTTTTCCTACTCTGAAATATGCACATCTCTTATGTGTGCCATCAAAATTATCCCGTAAAAGCCCCCAGGTTCGTTTCTAGGCACCTTGAGCCCCAAGAACAACCCCCACAGAAAATTGTGTAGCCCTTGGGACAAAGGGGGTAAGGATATCTTGTATCTTTACTACGTGGGCCCAATCGAGTTTGATCGCGAATGATCTGATCGAGTCGGATCTGATCAAGTCGGATCTGATCGCGCTGCTTGTGATCGCACATTCCGAGCCGCCCGATCAGAGATGTTTTCGGAGAAGGTTGTCAGCGTTGTTATGAATGATAATTTAAGAAGAGCAGTGTGCACTCCTAACAGCAGCAAATGAAGCACACAGTATCGAAACTGGAAACGAACAGTCGGAGTTGACTCGAAGCGACGCAGACAGTTGGAAAGCATCTGGACCAGACAGCATCGGGCAGCTGCAGGAGCAAGGGAATTGGCGGGAACAGTTTCGTAACTGTACGCGCCGCACGGTTAGGTTTGATTTAAAATCAGGGAATGTATCCCTTAGAGTACATGGCTAGCTAGGACGTTTGGTATTCCCCTGTATCACTATTTATAATGCTTGTATTTGCATGTTTTAATTATCTCGCTCATTTTACATTCACTCTAATTCGATGTCAAGGGCCCACCACCAACACAGCTACTTTGTGCGAACCTTCCTGAGGTGATTCTGGTTACGATCAATCTCTGATCGCGGCATGGTATCAGAGCGACCCAGGAATCCTTCGCAACGCCACTCCCCGAAACCATCGGCGATCTAAAGTGGCGTTAGGCACACGCTTGCGCGTAAGAATGGCCAACGGATCTGGAGGTCAGACAAATCTGACTGCTGAAGCACAGCCGAACCTGGCTACGACGGCGATTGGAACCGCGGTCCTCGAACAACTGCTTCAGCGACTAAAGAACTTGGAGCAAGGGCTCTAGACGTTGCGGAATGGCGCCGCAGAAACATCCTCCTAACCCTCTCAACCAGCCTCAAATGGCCACAATACCGTCCGGCACACCTTCTCCCTCGACACAAATGGCTCAACCCCCAAGACTCCCCGTCCCAGCGAAGAAGCAATTCTCTCTGCGCAACTTAGGTTCCTTCGCACATATATATATATAAGACAAGCGTGTGTTACGGTAGAGACTTCTATACGTGGAGCTTCGAGCTGGAGCTGCTGCTGCAAAACGCATAGATATTCCACTATTTTGACGGGAGCTACGCGGGACTTGAAGACGACACCGCTGTTAGAATCTTAGAATAGAACGAGAATGATTGCATTGAGCAGCATGAGGAGTACAAGTACCAAACCCTAGAATGTTGTACCCCATATGAGCTACCCCACTACAGCCTACACAGACTATAGTGTATGAGTTTGACACACCCCCATAGGCAAAGTGGGGGAGAACAAGGGGTCACAAGACCAGTCAAGCAAAGCAAGGCAAAGCAAGCTCAGGGTGGATCACAATGTCACCACACAGTCTGAGCACAAGTTCAAGGCCACAAGGCCAGTTCACATGCAAGGGTACATATATATAACGCTAAACAAGCAAGGGCAGGTATATATATGTAACAGTACAAGCAAGGTCAAGAAGTAAGCAAGTGAGGCAAGGTAGGCACAAGACCTAACAGAGTACAGAAGCGCTGATGATCACAAGGCGCGAGTGCCTTGGTGAAGATATCAGCAGTGTTGGCCTCAGAGGCCACGTAAGCAAGGCGCAGCTGACCACGCTGCTGCAGCTCACGAGCAAGGAAGTAGCGGAGAGCGATGTGCTTCGTTCTGTGCTCCAGTCTGTGCTCCCGACACAAGGCCAGCATGGCCTTGTTGTCTACGTACAGCACTGGAGGAGAACGAGGCGGCTCTCCCAGGTCAGTCAGCAGGTAGGTGAGCCAGCGTAACTCCTGTGCAGCCATGGCCCCTGCGTAGATCTCAGCCTCACAGCTGGAGCCGAGAACAGAAGACGAGCGGGTAGACCGCCACGAAACAGAGCCGGAGCCAAGGCTGAAGGTGTAACCCTGTGACGACCGCTGCGTAGCCTGGTCGTCAGCCCAAGAAGCGTCTGCGTGACCAGTGAGGACCACTGAACTCTGCCCTCCAAGCACAAGCCCCATGCCCGACGTACTGCACAAGTAGCGCAACACCCTCTTCGCTGCAGCCATGTGCTCTGGTCTGTGTCTCCCAGGAGCAACATAGCGTGCCAGAATGCTAAGAGGGTATGCAAGGTCAGGTCGAGTGCAGGTCATCAGGTACATGAGGCAGCCGACAAGCTCTGGGTACGGGCCACTCGACTCTACGGACTCATCCGAAGGCAGAGCTGAGAGCGAGTGGCGTGTAGGCAGAGGAGTGGCCTGAGGCGAGGAGTACGTGAAGCCGAAGCGCTGAAGGACCTGCTGCACCATGTGTGACTGAGTCAGGGTAATGGTGCGCTGTGCTCTGTCCCGGGTGATCTGCAAGCCAAGGTAGCTGCGCAGTTCACCCAGGTCTGTGCACGTGTGTCTCTTCTGCAGCTCGGACTTCACGTAGGCAAGTCCAGCAGTGTCAGCTGTAGCAAAGACCAAGTCGTCGACGTACACGAGGATGTAGAACGGCGGCAAGGAAGAGTCGGTGCGCAGAAACAGCGACGGGTCGGCAGTAGAAGGAGCAAACCCAAGAGCCGCAAGTGTAGTCCTCAGTGTGTCGTGCCACTCACGAGGCGCCTGGCGGAGACCGTAGACTGGCCGCCGGAGGCTCCACTGGGTGCCAGGAGGAAAAGTCCCAGTGAAGCCAGGTGGGCGGCGCAGCCAGATCTCCTCGTGCAGGCTGCCCTGCAAGAAAGCAGTCCTAAAGTCAAGAGAGTGCAGCTCGTAGTCTCGGTGAGCGGCTATGTGCAGCAGTACCCGAAGAGTGGTCATCTTCGGGGTGGGAGAGAAGGTCTGAAAGTAGTCAACTCCCTGCCGCTGACTGAAGCCACGAGCCACGTAACGCGCCTTGAAGACAGGCGGAGAACCCGGCGGCCGCTTCACCCTGAAAATCCACATGCCACTGACGATGTTCGCCCCAGGCGGGGGAACCTCGTCAACGTAGGTGCCTGTGGACTTCCAGGAAGCCATCTCTGCGTCCATGGCTGCCTGCCACTGAGAGGAGTAGGGACCCTCTATCGCCTCCGCGTAAGAGCGCGGAGTCGGGATGTCAAGTGCATCCGGGTCTCCCTCAGGGGCAAGCAGCATGGACACGAGATGAGGTGAAGCAGCAGCCAAGCACTGGAACTCCTCCTGCCTGTCCTCAAGGACGTCCGTGCCAAGAGCACACTCACCCTCGACGGACGGAGGACAGACAGACTCAGACTCAGCGACGAGACTGGCAGCGTAGTCTAGGCGACAGCGAGCAGCGAAGTCGACAAGCTCAGCAACCAGAGCAGACGCAGCAGTAGACTCAAAGGAAGGGTCAGTGACGACAGTAGCAAGGAGACGCGTGACAGTAGGACGCGCAGCACGAAGGGAGTCCGACTCAGGGTCAGGAAGGTCAGGAAGAGAGGACGCGGGAGGAGAAGGCAAAGGGGCACGCAGAGGAGCAGTGGAAGGACGCAGAGACATCCGGTGCGTGCCGGGGACAGGGGGAGGACGCTGACGTGAACCACGACCACTAGTGCGAGCAGCGCGGACAGGCGACGCAGGGCGAGACGCAGGCTCACGACGCTCAGCAAGACCTCTAGTAGGACCAGTGTAGGGAGAAGGAGAAGGAAGCGGGGAGGCCGGCGGTAACTGCGACTCGGACTGGACAGGAGGCGGACACGCTAAGGGAGGAGCAGGACCAAGAGAGGACGGAAGACCAAGAACCTGCTCAAGGAGCGGAACGAAGTACGGCCGTGGCCGCGCAGCTCCACCAGTGCCAGCAGGAACAGCACCAGCACCCCCAACGGGAGCACCAGTACCAGGAGTGCCCCCAGCTCCAGGAGCACCAACTCCAGCACCCTCAGCAGCACCTCCAGCGCCAACACCCCCAGTAGCTCCAGCTC